AAAATTAAAATCATCCATCAGAGCTGCTCTTATCTCCTTCCTAATTATTGCTATGACTTAAGATTTAATTGAAGCCAGAATGTCTGACTTTAGAGCCGATTCGACCTGGATCTTCAGAGCCCGGCGAAGGTGGGGTTGATTCACCTGCAAAACATTGGTTACGTATTGTAACCCCAGATTCTATGAATATAGGCACAGCCCTTTGAGGCTATCGCTAGTGGGTTTATCCCTTCGCGCGCAGGGCAGCACTGAATACTTTAGTCCACGCCCACCTGCTGTGTGGGCCTCACCCCCGGTCCGTACAAATTACAGTGAGACCAGGTAATAGGCTACCAAATAGCTTTTTTCTTCAGCCATTTAGGAACCAGTGAGGCCCAGAGCTTAAAGGGCTGCGCCTATACTCATAGAATCTGGGGTTACAGTACGTAACCAACGTTCTATTTTGTATAGGCAATATCGCTAGTGGGTTAAAGGCGAGGTAGGATGTAGTCTATGCCTCACTGGGTCCATTCAGACACAATATGAAGTGCCCGCTTGCACCAAGAAACATTTCATCACTCAGCCTTCTGTGTGCATAATTACGCAGCGTAATTACGCAGCGTAATTACGCGTTCCATGCCCAGGAGCGCGCTGCGTAATTATGCGTTCCATGCACAGGAGAGCCCCGAAGAGAAAAGGTTTCCAACGGGAAAAAGGGAAGGCTGAAAGCAATCCTTCTACTGAGAATGGAAAAAACATAGGTTATAAATTGTAACAATGTAACAGTGAGCAGAGCAGGTCAACAGCTCTTCAATATGAACTGATTAATAACAAATGAACTGATTAGTAATCAAATGAACTGATAGGTAACAGCTGTCATGAACTGATTAGTAACAATAAAAATGGCAGTCGTGAACTTGTGACTGATAATAAATATCTCACACTGTAATTGCATGCAGTCAGATGTGAGTTTAAAACAAAATTACATGAAACAAGTAAGATTCATTCTGTTAGAACACTAAGAACAGAATGGGTCAGAAACATCACGCAGATAGAAGCGAATAAATGAACAAGGTTATGTCCAAGCAGTCGCTGTACAAATGTCCTCCACTGTCATTCCTCCATGCAAAGCTGTAGAGGATGAAATTCCTCTGGTGGAATGAGCTCTGAGATTCTCTGGAGGCTCCAATCCTGATGTCCTGCAAGCTTCAGAAATAGCCTCACACAGCCAGTGTGAGAGGTGCTGAGTGGATAACGGGCGACCTGCAGAAATGTCCCTATAATGCACAAACAGATGCTGAGTCTGGCACAGAGGAACCGTGCATGCTATGTAACATGCCAGCACGCACACAGGACAGAGGAGATGAGACGATGCTTCCTCCTCTGATTTGTGTGGGGGGAGGGGGGGGGGGATAAAACTCCTCCAATGTCATCATTCTCGATTTAAATGAGCTTGTGATGTTTTTTGGTATGAAAGCTGGGTTAGGTCTCAGTGCAGCTGAGCTGCCATTGGCTTGAATCCTGAGGCATGACAAGGCAGCAGAGAGCGCAGATAAATTGCTCACTCTCTTTGCTGATGCTCAGCGGCCAGACCCAAAGGTGCTGGCCTATTTCTGGTTGACTCCTGATCGCTCCTCCCACCTGGAGGAGAGCATCGTCTCTCCACGGCAGTTTCCACGGCTGGCCCGACAACAGACATTGCAGGTTTGGGAACCATGGGGCGCTCACGTGCTCGGGGGCTACCAGGATGGCTGACAGTTCTTCCTCCTGGACTCGGTTCAGAAACCGTGGTATTAGAGGGACTGGAGGAAATGTGTAAAGGAGCATTTTTGGCCACGGGCTGTGGGCAAAAGCATCCACTCCTAATGGTGGGTCATCCCATGGGCTCAGTGAGAACCATAATTGACACTGGGCATTCTCCCGTGTGGCGAACAGATCCACTGCTGCTCGGCCGAACCTGCTCCAAATCCAAGAAATCAGCTCAGGATGGAGGTTTCAGTCTCCATGGCGAGGACCGCCCCTGGACATTATATCCGCTCCTCTGTTCAGGATGCCGGGGATGCACAGTGCTCTGATGAAGAGCAGGTTTTTGTGTGCCCAACGCAGCAGCTGTCTCACAATGTGTAACAGTTGGGCTGAGCGCACGCCTCCCTGCCGGTTTATGTAAGCTGCAGTGACTCTGTTTTCTGTGTGGATCAGAACATGTTGATTCCGAAACAGGGGAGCAAAATGCTGAATCACATTCCAAACTGTGAGACATTCCAAAACGTTTATATGATCTGATGTGTGAGCTGGTCACAGCACCCCCACCGCCTGAGACAGGCACGTTCCTCCCCAGCCTGACAGGGACGTGTCTGTGAAAACTGAGACGTGTGACATAGGCCTGCTGATAGGAACTCCCTCTGACAGAGCAAGAGGGTTTCCCCAGTGATTCAGGTCGGTTCCCACGGAGGGGGGCACAGAGATCATCCGCCTCTTCTGATGCACTGGACCTATGCGCAGGCAGGCAAACCATCTCTGAAGGCGTCTCATGTGGAGTAAACCCAGCGGAACCACAGCGTGAACTGAGGACATCATATCCAAAAGTTTCATGATCGAGACAACCGTTACTACCCTGCTGGGTTTTATGTGGCGGAGCTGAGCTGTCAGAGCTTCGGCTCTCGGCTGTGATAAGTGGGCTCTCATAGTGACTGAGTTTAACTCCACTCCCAGATAAATGATCATCTGGGCCGGGAGAACCGAACTCTTTTCCCAGTTTATGGCAAAACCCAGGTTCAGCAGGTGTGACATCAGTGCTTTGGTTTGTGCAGCTGCTTCCTGTCTGGATCAAGTTAACAGCAGCAGATAGTCCAGGTAAAAAATAATTCTCATTCCTGCTCTGTGTAACGGCTGCAGAGCCGTCTCCACGCATTTCGAAAAAAGTGCATGGATCGAGGGAATAGCCGGAAGACAGCTTGTTGTACTGGTACTGGGTCCCTTGGAAGGAAAAGCGCAGGAAATTCCTGTGTTTCGGAATGATTGGTATGTGAAAATAAGTGTCTTTTAGATCTATGGAGGTAAACCAATCGTTCTGGTGAATGTTGTCCAACAGCTGTTTGGTTGTCAGCGTGTAGAATTGTCTCTCCATGATCGATTTGTTGAGCATGGACAGGTCGAGGATGGGTCTCATTCCTCCGGTCTTTTTCGGGACCAGGAAGTAACGTGAGTAATACCCTGTGTTTTCCTCTCCAATGGGAACCCTGGAAATTACATTTTTTATCAGTAATTCTTGAACTTCTGAGTGAAAATACGAGATCTGTTCTGGAGATGACAGAACTGTCTCTATAATCCCTCTGAATGGTGGGGATTGAGCTGCGAACTGTAGCGTGTAACCCCTGCTGATCAGACGGTTCATTCTTCTGTCTAGGGAACACACTCGCTGCCACTGCTTAACGCTCGGGGAGCAGGCACGCATTTTTGTGTTGTCATGTCTTTTACGGACGTTAGCCAAGTTAAAGCCCCTACCACTGTCACCTGCTCCGGAGATGCTCCTCAAGCGACCCAAGGGGGGGCCTCGCAGAAAGGGCCTTGGAAACGCCTCTGTGCTGTGCTCAGACTGTGGGCTCACATTAGAGTTGATGTGAGCTGACACGCACTGAGAAGAGGCGTGATCACTTTTAAAATGCGACGCCGTTTGGGTGGAGACTACAGTTGCCATGGAGAAACACGTTTTCTCCCGCTGCGGTCAGAAATGTCAGAAAACAACCTGGGCTGAAAGCAGGGGTCTTTTTTGGGCTCGATCTGCTGAAAAAGATAATTTCTAGCTGATGTGTCAAGCGAGAATTTTGTGTGATTACTCAAGCTGCGGTGACTTTTAAAAACCTGTTTTGATGTTACCGGCTTGTTTTGTGTGGAGGATGTGTGAAGAGAGGCCACTGTGAGATCATTCGATCTGACAGACAGGCTGGAATCAGAAGACACTTTACTCTCTAAATGATGTTTTTGTTTTAACTCATGTCATCATTATGCACACACACATCCTCTGCAAAGCGTCATTTCTTGTGTTGTCTCCCCCTTGGGCTCTGCGGCTGGTTGTTCCAGGGCGGCGCCTTTTGGCAGTCTCTGGGAAAGCCCTGAGTCGCTGGTTGACGCGATGAGAAGGGCTGTTCTCTGGCGGGAGGGGCCGGTAGCGGAGAGGGATGAGAGGTCGCTGCTGCAGCTGTGGAGCATCTCTGCTGCTGCCTCTGGCCACGGCGATCCCTCCAGTGGGCAGGGGGGCAGGAGGAGGGCTGCGGCTTCATCAGGTGGCGCACAGTTTCCGACACCTCCTCCGACTTATTTGACTTTTCAAGCATGGCCTTGAAATTGGCCCCGAACAGTGCGTCCGTCATGATTGGGCCCTCCAGCAGGTCTGTCTGCAGCTTCTCCGGCATGGATGGGGAGAGTCGGAGCCAGATGGACCTCTGGATCATTGTCATCCAGGCGGCGATGCGAGACAAGCAGACCGCAGAGGAGGCGCACAGCTTCAGGTTGACGTCAGACGCTTTGCAGAGCGAGCTTCTCATCTCCTCAGGCAGGTCTGTGTCCTCCAGCCTTTTAGAAATGCTGTAGGCCAGCAGGGTAACATTGTTGAACGCTGCGGCAACCTGGAAAGCACACTGGTGGGTTCGATTGGAGAGCGACGTCACCGTCTGGTCGTGTCTCCCTGGAGGGACAGGACGTTGGTCCAACCTGGACACTTTTGTTCCAAGTGCCTCTGCCAGGCTTGGCCTCGGGGGGGGGGGGGGGGGGGGTAACCAAGGGAAAATTCTGCTCAGTAAACCCCTCCACTCTGGTGATGGGTTCGAAGGTGGAGACCGGCGCCCTCAGCTTACCAGGTCCGGCTGCATTTTTGTTCCAGTAGGACGTCACTGTTGGGAAACGAGGCCAGATGGGGTCAGGGCGGCGAGCCGGGGTGGAGCCAAAACTTCCCTCTAGATCATCCGATCTGGGCGGGGGGAGGAGAGGGACAGAAAGTCCCTTTGTGTCAGCCCCCTCCTGGATTATGCCGGGCAGCTCCGAGAGGACGGCACCGACGGCTGGAAGCGGTGTGTTCGCCAATGCGGAAAGGCCCAGGGGGGTTGTTCCAACACTATGCTCTCCAGGAGGGAATGAGCAGCGGGGCTGCTACTGACGTCACCTTTTCTGGAGGATTCATCCGATTCGCTCCGTGACTCGGCGTCAAAAAAGGCGATGGCGTCGTCCAGCGAACAGTCCCCCGCCAAGGAAAGGCAGTCCTCCATATTAGCCTTGAACAAGGCTGCTCGTCTTTGTTTCTCCTCGGGAGGGAGGAGGTCACAGGGACGGCAGGAGGAAGCAAGGTCGGCGTGGCGGGGACCCAGGCATCCTTCACAGATGTCATGCCGGTCAAAGCTCAAAATGTATCCGGTCTGGCAGGATGGGCACAGGCGGCTGGTGCTGGTGCTGGACATTGTGTTCTTGTAAAAGCAGTGCTGGTTGCTTGCTGAAGAAAAAATGGGAGCCGATTTTCCGGTCTCACCGTAATTTATACGGACCGGGGGTGAGGCCCACACAGCAGCTGGACGTGGACTAAAGTTTTCAGTGCTGCACTGCACGCGAAGGGATAAACCCACTAGCGATAGCCTTAAAGGGCGAAGTCTATACAAAATAGAACCACCTGCTTTTCCATCATGGCAATCCGAGGTTGCAGTTGTGATGACAGGCCGCACAGCACGGTGGAAGACGCGGCTGCCTTAAATTTTTTTTTGCTTAGAGGCCATATCACAAGTCGGTCGAGTAAGTTATGCAGCGACAACAGTCTCAGAAATAAAATCCAGCATGGAGGTAGCGAGGATATATATAAACTTCCATTGGTTAACTTTTATTTACAAGGCACTGTTAGGACTCCTGCCAGCCTATATTTGTACTGCAATTGCAATGAGAAATGTTGGCTCATACTTTTCGCTCACACAATTTGCTGCTTCTTTCTGTCCCTTTTACTAGGACTGAATTGGGTAAGAAGGCTTTCGTTCACTCTGCTCCCTCTTCTTGGAACTTTCTACACGAAACTCTGAAATTGATTGAATTAATCTCATTCAGTGCTTTTACATCCAAACTAAAAGTTATTGAGGCCAATTCAATGACATGTACCTGTTTTAATAACTAGCTTGTTTTATAGTACCTGTTTTTTATAGCGTGACATTTTCTTTTAACTGTGTAATTTTTTGTGTTGTATTTGTTGCTGCCCCTTGGCCAGGTCTCCCTTGAAAAAGAGGTTTTCAATCTCATTGCTTTTTTTTTATCATGGTAAAATAAAGGTTAAATTTAAAAATAAATAAATAAATAAAAGGAAATTTTTCAGCAGGGCCGACGGGAGCTCAGCAAAATGTTGTTCACTGGTCTGCCACCATGTTGGTCTCCCTGAACTTTGATGTATTGAATCACTTTGACTATGGCTGCCTCAGAGGAGTCAACGGGGGAAAGGGCAGACCCTAGAAATCATCTCATCACCAGCAAACTTGTTGGCCCACTATGTGAATGTGCTGCTTGTGGGACTGAGTTTATTGTGGTTCTTCAGACTGATGAAGTCCTTTGGATGAAGGACAAAATGTCTTAACCAAAAAAAAAAGTCCAGATGACCTGACTGAACTTTGTTGGGTTTTTTGATCTGACTTACAGTTTTGACACAGAAACTGACTGAGGCTCAATTTTCAGTCTGTGTTTCTGCTGGTGCTGCCATTTTCTTTTCTGCTCCTCAAAATAGGTAGTAATTGCCATGGTAACCAGTGTCTCACTAGCCTCTGTTGCCCAGTATGCTTTACTTGAAATTGTCCATCATGGTTGCAGCCATAGATCCTGTAGAATCTCAGACTTCATTTAATCTCTATTCAGAACTTTAACGTTCAATAGTATTAAGGATTCAAAGTAATAAAAAATCACCATAAAAACAAACCAAAAAAATGCTTCAAGGAGATTTAATCTGGAGTTTCAAAATAAAGCTGATTGTTTTCAAAGTAAGAGTCTGTCTTTGCTTCATTGATTGCAATAAAAAAATGTTCTTAGATGTTTCCTTCAAGATTTCTTTAGAATTTTTCTCATTTACAGAATATTCTAGATCGCAAAACCCCAGAACAGTTTAGCTTTTTTAAAAAGCCAGTCATATATATTTTTACAAAATAGAAAGTTTTGATTTAATAAATGACTTCATGAAGCCCTGTTTGAATCATAAAAACAGAATTAACCGAAGATACTGGACAGGTGTGAGGATGAACATGTGAACGGCTTTGTAGAACCTAAATAAAAAAAGTTTTGATTCATAAGAAAATCTCAGCTTTTAGTCTATTTTGGGTCATCAGGACTGACTTTCAGTTCTGTTCTGATCAGGACATTAAGACAAAAATTCAGAAACCAATGTCTGCAAACATCAATGAAATAGAGCAGCATTGGCAAGAAGAGTGGCTCAAAAGTCCTCCACAACCATGTGAGAGACGGATACAGAAACCCACTGCTAAGAGTTCTGGTGCTAAAGGAGGTTCCGCAAGTTGTTGTATCAGGCTCACAAAGAGTTCTTTTATATAAATAATGACTGTGTGGAGTCTGTTGTGTGCTCAGAAACTGCAGGAGGAATCAAAACCAGAATACAAATGTATGAATACTTCTTAAACTAGAAAAAAAGCATTTTCTGCAAAATTGCAGTATGAATGCATATTACAGAAGAACTTACTGAAAAACAGCTAAAATTAGCTAAAACAAACATTCTGAAATGCAGCTGAAATTGAAGAACAAACCTAAATTAACAGAAAAAAGCAAAAAGAACACATATGTTCTGAATTAGGTTTAAATAAGCAGAAATTAGCACACAAATAAGGAAATTTGTCTAAAAAAAGATTAAATTAGCAAAAAATAGCTGAAAAGTAGCTGCAAAGACAGAACGAAGCTTAAACTACTACTACTAGTGGAAAAAACTGAAATGAGTTCAAAACATGTGAAATGAAAAGGCTAAATTAGCATAAATAAGCTAAATAGTAGCTGAAAATACAGAAAAAGCTGAAACTTGCAGAAATAAGCTGAAAGGAGCACAAAACAGCTGTAAGTAGATGAAAATAGTTAAAATTTGCACAAGAAATCTGAACAAAGCTGAAGCAGAACAAAATGTGAAAGGAGCAGTAAAAGGTTGTAATCAGATCTATAGATTTGAAGGATGGAAAATGAACTCATTTCATTTTCTATGAGAAAAATAATGGTAGAAAAGGCTCAATATTTGAAAAAGCTAAAGTTGCACCAATACCTAAAGTCATAGCAGGATTGTCCTGAAAAAGCTGAACATTTTGATTTATGATTTGTTGAAATAGCACAAAAGTTGTGGAACGAGAAAGATGCTACTGTAGTGAACTAGGCCTGAAGGTCAAATCCTGACCTTAAAGACTTTATGGGACAGAAGCTGTCATTTCATTGATTTGAATCCAGAAATACAGGTTGACCCATCCTGAGACTTTCTTTCTTGAAAATTCAAGTGAAAGAACACTCTCTTTTCTATTATCATTACTATTTTACAAATGTTTGATAATCAAAGTGTTTTAGTTCAAACCATTTTAGATGCTGCAGTGAACTAATCATTTTTAATTAACTGTGAAACAGTAATAATGATTTTTAATCCTCATGCAAAGTTAGAATTCATGTTAAGGTCTGTTACAGAGTAATTATGCATTTTCTGATTTTCTGTCTTTGAATGAGCAAGTGTAAGTTGGTCCAAGGTTGGAGTCAAATGCAGACCAGTTGTTGGAACGAGCTGTCATGTTTTTACATCCTCTCAGACGTAAATAGAGAAGCTGGCACCTGTTGGCACCTGTTTTCCGCCAACTCGTCCAAACATTTCTCTCTCTGTCTCTAAAAACATTTTCAATCTGTTCCATAACATTCTTGCTGTTTTTCTGACTCCTAGTGACCTCTTACGTCACAAAAACACACCCCTGTCTGGTCGATATTGACCAATCAGAAACTCCCAAATGAACCGGAAATAGAGCCCTTTAAAATGTCGGTACTTCCTAGTTCAACCCAGTCGAGTTTGGAGTCGAGTTTGAAGTCGAGTTTGGAGTCGAGTCCAGTTGGAGTCGAGTCAAGTGTCAAGGAGAACCAGTCGCTTCAGGCTCCAGCTTCAGTCGTTGCAACTCCAGGGCTGGGAAACAGGAAAATCCTGACATGACCACAGAGCTCTTCCGAGTCTTATGGGATTATAACATCTTCCACCTCTGGGTGGAACTCTGACGGACTCCACTCATGTGAAGTCCACTCGTGAGGTGAAGTTGTGTCTAACAAGTAACGTCACTACTTCGGACGATTCACAGCTGTTCCTACGGAGACGCTGAAAGGGTGCGTTAAATGGAATTTCGCCAGGAGACATCTCCAGGTAAAAGAGATTTCTATCACCTAAGTGTACTGGGGAAGAAGCTGGGAAAACCCGGAGAGTGCCGTTCTGATGCTGACATAAACATTCTCCCTCATCCATCTTTTTCTCCCTCTAAACTTCATCTTTCCATCTTTAAAATTCTTCTATCAAGTAGAAATCAATCCAGATATTTTTAGAAATGTCTGTGTAAAGTTTTCCAACCACCGCCGTGTGGTTAATCAAAATTGTACAGCTTGCTAAAATTAGCCATGTTGTTATTTTCCATATTTTGCCAATTAATGTAAATGTGTGATGCGTTAAACTTTGATTCTGTTAATAAATGACCCACTGTCGTTGGTGAGTCAAAGATAATTAACGTCTCACGTTACATTTCTAAATTCAATGCACATTATATACAGTCCAGAAAAATGAAAGAATCCATTTAATTTATGAATATATCTCATGCATATGTTCATCTACACTAAAAAACGTACATCACAATAGAGTGAATGCTTCATAAACATTCACACAATAAGCTATCTATACAAAAACAATGTAAGGACAGAAGATGGCATGCTGTCAGAGTGCAGAAATACTTACAAGTTATATCAAGTTCTTCCATTTCCACGGTGAGGCTAGTGATGTTTAAATCACAATCTGAGAATTAAAGGTGAAAGAAATGCTTTGTTCATTGTCCACAAGACGTGATGCCACATTTGATCTTCTTGATTTGAAGAAAATAAGTATGGATTTTATGAGAAGGACTTCTGATTTACCTTTACAGTTTTCAAGTTTTTGAACAGCTCTTAAAACTTCTTCAAAACTGTTGTTGTAGAGGGCGCTGGCATTGCTGTTCTGAATTTCCAAAACCACCTCATGCGTGACACGAACACTGAAGGAGAAAGAAATTCATGTCATTACGGACTCAGATCTCAAACAGGATGTCCTGCTGAATTATTCTCTTAGAATTTCAGTATCTCCATCATCATTATTATTATTATTATTGTTATTATTATTATTGTTGTTATTATTACTATGATTTATTATTTTGGCTGCTCCCTTCTTCAGGGGTTGCCACAGTGAACTAACTAGCATGAAGACTTGTCAAATGTTTTTACGGCGGATGCCCTTCCTGACACAACCAGAGATCACTACGCTACCACAGCCCTCTGTGTGGAACAGAGAGCTGCCGTGTAGGGTGCCTGGGGGAGCAGATTGTGGGGGTTAAGGGCCTTGCTCAAGGTCCGAGAATGGGGCAAATGAGGGTGGAGGCAGGTGTGGGTGTTTCACTTTTCCCACCCTCGTTTTGATATTGTCGGTCTAAGGGATCAAACCATTGACTCGCCTTATCTAACCACTGCACCACCACTCCCCCACTCCCCAGCAGTTTCCGTCATAATTTATTCATGTCAAATAATTAAATAATCATAACTTTGTTCGATGTCTCTTTTGTAGTTCTTGATGTAATTTTCTGTTGTGGATGTTGACGGCTCCTTTTTCTGGGTCTAGATGAGCTGTGAATAACATTCTCCATGGAGTTTCCATGGAGTCTTCAAAACGTCTCGAAACATACCTGAGGTAGAGCTGTCATTTCAAACTTTGGCCCATACCCGGCCTGGCCTGACTCGAAATTAGGGTTGGGCCGGGCCAAAATATGGGCAGGCTAGATCGGAGTCGGGTTTTGATTGTGTCAGCGGACGCACGCGGCTGACTATCCAATTTGGATCACCAGCTATGCACGACCGTTTGACCATGCACTGACCAGACAGTTGAAAAAAGTCCAGATCACTGCCAGCGACCTACCTGAAGCTTAACTGGACTCAGCTGCTGCGTCAGCGGACGCGCGCATCCAACGACCCAATTTGGATCATCAGCCGCACGCATTTGTCGATGTTAATAACCATAATAATTATAATATTATAATAATTATAATGATCCGCTGACTCCTGTTAATAAACAAGAAATCTTATATCTTCTTTTCTTTGAAATACATTTTTAAATCATGTCAAACTGATTTGCTTACAAAAGCACTAAATGCTTGGTTTAAATTATTTTTTTTTTTTTCGGGTTCGGGCCTGTGATCACGGTTAATAGGTTGGTTTGGGGTCGGTCTCGGAAAGAATGATACAGGTTCGGAACAGGCCGGGTCAGATTTTTTAGGCCCAAATGCAACTCTAGGGGTTCTTACTTTCCTCATTCCTTTTGTATTGAACACTTTTTGAATTACTTTCCTCATGTAAATGGTAAATGGACTGTACTTATATAGCGCCTTTCTGTCTTATCCAGATACTCAAGGCGCTTTACACTACAATCTACACCAGTAGTTCCCAACCTGGGGGCCCGACCCACATGGGATGGTGCTAGAGAGCACAGGGGGTCGCATAATATGTCTGCTTAGAGGTTGTAACAATGTCAATTTATTGTCTGTGTAACAACTTTAGAAAATATGTTTTATTTTTAATTATAATGTTTGAAATTTCACCAAATCCTGATTAACACTGAATAACTCTCATTTTGGTTGTGTTTGAAGAGTTTTCTATAACATTTTATGTTAATAAGTAAAATCCGTACTGTCACTTTAAGAGCGATTTGTTATGACGTCAGTACTCGGCTTTCAAATGGCAGCGCGGCTGCCTGAGAGGAGGTAAGGAGTTATCGTTGGTCTTGGTTAAACTCACGTTTATTAAATATATAACATAAACTCCCTGGGCTGAGAACATCACGCATCAAATGAGGGTGTTATCATTTATCATGAATGAAGTTTCTTTCAGATTCATACTGATCTGGCTGTGACAGTTTATTGACATAATTTATCATTAATAACATCAAATTAACGTTACCAGCACAGTAAAGGTTTTCTATTTTCTGATTTTTTTTTTTAAAATATAGCTGGAGGAGCGTTTTCAAAATATATTTTTAGCCAATCAAACACTTTGAAACTGTGAACTTACTGATTTTATTAAGCTATGAGTTAATAAATGATTACTGATAGACTAGAGTTTTTGGATTTTTACATGAACTGAAATGATTATAGAACACTGTTTTGACATTACAAATATTTATAGGTTGTGTTTACAATGCTAATCAATTAATAATGTGATTATATCTAAAGCTAAGTCTTGGGGATTTTTGAACGATAAATTAGAACAACTGCTAGTATGGAGAAAAGTACTTTTTTGAAAGTAGAGTTACAAATTTCATATCTGTTAATTGATTCCAAAACTGATTAGTTGAATGTGGGAGAAGAAAATTACAATTTTTATCTGAAACTAAAAGGGTTTTTTAGAGTGAACTTCTTGATGTTATAACTAAGTGGACCTTCCTAGGAGTGTGTTACAACCTAACAGGAAGGAAGTCAGACACACAGGTGATTACAAGGAAAAATTAACAGATAATATGAAGCTAAGTTGTGGGTAAATTTTAACAATTAATTACAGATGTGTACTTTAGAATTGTGGTTAATTTGAATGTTGAACTCAACATTAATTGGGTGACAGGTCTTCTCAAACTACTTTGAGAGATGAGGTGATTGATGGACTGACTAATTATGGAGTGGGTTGAATATTAACGTTTACAGTTTATGTACAGTATTATGGAGCGTTATGATGATTTTTTCTTAAATTAACATGGTTGAACAAGATACTTTTGCATGGTACTTAGTTAAATATGACCTTTTTAATGATTACTTGATGATTTGTTTATTTAATGACTATATGATGTGTGAAAACATGAAAAAGAATGTTTTAAGAGCAGATCTTGATGAAATAACGCCACTAGATGGTGCAATTGCAATGATAGATTTAATTATTAACATTGTTTTCTATGAAATAATGATTTTTTTTTACAGTTGGGCCATTGACGAGAGACCAGAGGATTTTGATAAATACATAAAATGGGGTTTTATAATTTAGATTTTCCAGGGAGTGAACTTATGACATTATTCAATCTAAACTGGGACAAAATTGAAGGGTGGTGGAATAGGTGAATTGATTTGTTGGTTAATTGTGAATGTTTTTATATTAGATCACCAGGGGGAGTTGGGAGGTTCTGTTATTTACATACAATATGCACGTTAAAACATGTTAATTGTTTAAATCCACTTTTATGCACACAAACACGTTTTCTGTTGTGACAGGCTAAAAATACCGGCAGCGCTCTGTGCAAATAAATTGGGTACTGTATGACTGAAGGGGAAGGGGGCACAGAGTTTTTCTTTTTTCCTTTTCAGATGGACAAAATGGACCATGTCTGCCCTTAGATTCAAAAAGAGAAGTTCAAGTTCTACAAACTGATTAACATCTATTAGATAAGAACACTTTCTTGCATTAGGACGCCTTGTGCAATCATTAAATCATATATTTAGAACTCTGACTTAGACAAATGTTAGAAATTTCCATTATGTCATATTGCACCACACCAGGGGGATGCTGAAGTCCTAGACAGATGTCTAGGGCTGGGTCAGGTGACCTGAGGCTGGCAGGTCACACGCTAGCTGTCAGCTCTGGCATCTTATTTGACCTGAGGCTGCCAGGTCACACACTATAGCCTGTAGGCATCTCCCGCCAACATATAAGGAGTAGTTCACATTCAACCAGAGGAAAAATGATTAATTGCTTGCTTTTCTGGTGGTACTGAACCCCTTTGGGGTCCCTCGACCAGGGGGAGTTGTTGGGTATTATTTTTATCTAGACTGGTCCTATGGTGTTGATCTGCTCAGAGATGGGATTATAATGAAATTATGACCTGGTTCTGACTGGGTTAAACTGGGCCAGCAGCTCTAAGAGAGTCTCCCTGGGATTTCAATATCAGTCAAGGAATAGAGTTTAAACTGCTTGCCACATCATGTAGAAAGGCTTTTGAAGCACCTTCTCATATTTCCTAACACATCAGAACCACATAAGATCCATTGAGATCACACTTAGTCACACCCCCTCATACACTGACAGGTTGAGCTCCCCTTCTGCAAAGGCGGAGTCTAGGACCCTATAAATGAGTAATGACACGGGACATCGGGGCTCTTCCGGGTCTGTGAATGCGTCACAGACCGGAGAGACCAGCGCTGTAAATTGTAAACTTTTCCTGCCTTTATTTTAATATAATTGATAAAACTTAATTGACGTTTCCTTGATTTATTGATAATGAGAGTTGCCACTTCTAGACGTGGGCTGTAGGGGGTTTTCCGGGTCCAGTGACCCGCAGCCAGCTCCCGTCTTTAACACTGCTTAGCTGAAATTAAACCTTGGTTTACATCTAACTTCCTTAAATTAAACTGTGATAAAACAGAGTTTCTACTCATCGGCACTAAATCCACCATATCTAAAGTCAACAGTTTTTCTCTCACCATTGACAGCTCCATGGGTTCTCGCTCCCCTCACGTTAAGAGTCTGGGTGTCATTCTTGACAGCACTCTCTCTTTTCACTCTCCCATCAATAATATTACTCGGTCTGCATACTTCCACCTTCGAAACATCAACCGTCTCCGTCCATCCCTCTCCTCGCACTCTGCTTCAGTCCTGGTCCATGGTTTGGTCATTTCTCGAATTGATTACTGCAACTCTCTCCTATTTGGTCTGCCGCAAAAATTACTCCGTAAGCTTAAAATGATTCAAAATTCAGCTGCCCGTGTTGTTACCAAAACCCCCTCAATTCACCACATCACCCCAGTTTTACAGCAACTTCACTGGCTTCCACTCACCTTCAGAATGCAATTGAAAATCCTGTTGTACACATTCAAGGCCATCCATAACCTCCCCCCTCCCTATCTGTCCGATCTCCTGCACATTATCACCCATTCACGCTCCCTTCGTTCTTCCTCTTCCATCCACCTCAATGTGCCTCTCATCCGCCTCAGCACCATGGGATACAGAGCCTTTTCTCACTCTGCTCCCCAACTCTGGAACGCTCTTCCTCCAGACATCCGTAATATTGACTCCCTTCAGACCTTCAAATCACAACTCAAAACTCATCTGTTCAAGTTAGCCTTCTCACTTTAATTTTTTGTTATTTTATTCTCAGTTTAGTGTTTTTAAAGACATTTTGTATTGTTTTATTTTGTGTTTTTAATGTTGTGAAGTGTCCTTGGGTGTCTTGAAAGGCGCTAACAAATAAAATGCATTATTATTATTATTAGAGGCAATGGGGGGCTCAGGGTCCTGCACAGGAACACTTCAATATGTGACTGCACATTTGTGGAATTTAAAATCTGTCTCTCTCATTGAATGATGACAACTCTAACCACTGAGCCCAGCCACCCCATAGACCAAAAGTAGTCATTTATTAATTTACCTGTCGTTACTTGAAGCGTAGACAGTCCTGGCTTCAACGAATAGTCTTTCCTGAAAGAAAGACAAAACTGTTACTAACCAGTATTATTTTTTATTCTGTTATCATGCTATTAAAGTATTGTTAAACTTAAACGTATCTGCAGTGTGGTCTGATAATCTTACCAAAGGCTCTCCACGGCTAAGAAAAATACAAACAACAAGGGTTATATCACTTTGCAATGTAACAACATGCATATAAAAATAAATAAACATTACTTTGCTATGTTTGCACGCTATAAAACAAAATACACTTGGAAGTTGTTTACCTCACACTGGTCACTACAACTTCTTTAAAATTTTCTATATTCTGGTTGTTGTAATGTTTCTCCATCTGAGACAAGAACACAGTTATGTTGAAAAACAATTATAGTCAGGGCTTCATTTGAACCAGATCCCGCCAGAACAAGATCCGGGAACTCTTATTTTGACAGGGTGTGTTCCAGCAACTGTTTGCTTGGATCCGGCAACTAAAATCTCTGCCCCTAAAAGTCCAAAGTCATTGCTCATTTTTATGACCCCCCCCCCAAAAAAAAATCTAAATTATAATTAAACAGCACAACTAAATTGCAAATCAGTTTGGCAGTTTGTGGGTTGTTAATTAGATTTTGAATATTTATTAAATATACAACGAGAGGAGACGTTGCCCTTGGTCAGGTGGACCCAGTCCGTGGAGTGGATGTTCCAACTGCAGCTCGCGCACAAGCTCCTGCCCAGCAGAGATGTGGAAGGTATGTCCCGCGGGGATGAATTGTCTTCATTCAACACCTTCAGCTTGATTATGGTAAACCAGAAAGAGATTATCTAAAAAAGTTAAATCTGGTCCTCTGGACATTAAAAAAAAAAAAAAACAAAGCAAATCAACAAAAAAAATGTAGAAACGTTTCGTCTCTCATCCGAGAGACTTTTTCAGTCTGAGGTGCTGTATTCAGCTCAGTCTCTTAAATAGCACCGTCAGAGTGGATCAACCAGTTTTGCTGCTGACAACCAAAACCAGCTGATCACATGCTCAAGAAGGACCATCAGCCTAACAATGGATCATTAGCACACTGATGGCTGTTTACTGTTCACAGAGGGCTGAGTGATACTAGCAATCACAGCATTGTAAGAGGGTGACAGTTGAACCCGGAGGCCTCCACCCCTGTTTAACGATGGATGATTTCTTTTCACAAAGATGGCCTCATTTACTCCTCTCTCAAACCATCGTTCCTCTCTGTCCAGGATGTGCACATCTTCATCCCTGAAAGAGTGACCGCTGGCCTGGAGATGAGTGTAGACCGCAGAGTCCTGGCCTGATGATGTTGATCTTCTGTGCTGGGCCATCCTTTTGGCCAGTGGCTGTTTTGTTTCCCCAATGTAAGACTGATCACAGCCCTCCTGACACTGAACAGCATACACAACATTGCTCTATTTGTGCCGGGGGACTGGATCTTTGGGATGAACCAGTCTTTGCCGTAATGTATTTTGGGGTTTAAAAGTCACTGGGACGTTATGTTTAGAAAATAAACGTCTCAGTTTCTCTGATACTCCCTCAACATATGGAATGACCACTGGTCTGGGTCTGGGTTCCTCCTTTTCACCTGTTGGCTGACTGGAGTCCTGTTTGGGTTTCTTCTCTGCTTT